TGCATACATATACATACATACATACATACATACATACATACATACATACATACATACATACATACATACATACCCACAACTCAATAACTCATGATTTCGGCAACTGGAGCCCTAGCGTAAAGATCCCGCGGACATCGTCTTCAATTTCGGACTCTAAACGGCCCAGCGTGCACCCCACTCACCAAGGGCAGACTGTTCTCGAAATTACAAATAAATAATTCAGTGATTCAAACAAACCTCGCTTGCACTGTTATTTGTGCACACCCAGCTCAGCCCCACAACCTTTTAAAACCAACTGGCTTTAGACAACCCCAAAGCAATATGCACTTTTCAAAAATGGCCACACGGAGCACTGGTAAAAAAAAACAGATAGAGCTCTAAAAGGGCCTCCATCGAACCTGGAACATGCGGGCATGGTGGGTTCCTCTGCTGGTGCTTCGTTCTTGGGCCGAGCTTTGTCTCCCAGACGGCATAGCAGACGGCGCACGCAAGTACATCAGGACCGCTTATCGGGCTTCAGGGTTCGATTTGGGTTCAGAGCCTTTCTGAGTTTGTGGGCTTTTGGCTTTCCAGTTCATTGTGGGCGTGTGGCGGAGTTCGAGTGGTTTGTTCGGGGTCATGATGCGCTTCGGGATCATAAGGGGCACGTTCGATAGTGTGCTTATCTTCGGGTTCAGCCTCTAAGTCGTCGCTCCTTACATCGCTAACCCAGCAAAGGCTGCGACCCTAAGTCCGCAATCCCTGAACCCTACAATTGCTGATGAAATTCTGGCCAAAGGAATGATCTAGGCCGGGATGTGGCGATTGAGCTGTTGGCTTATGATTGGCCTTCAGCAGAACTGGAGTCAGCAATCGCCAAAATTCTCATCGAAGAGGCCTTGGGGCTTTTAGGGTTTAAGGCGTTGGGTTTGGGGTTTGGGGTTTGGGGTTTGGGGTGCTCTTCCGGAATCCGGAGGTTGTGATTGCTGTTGGGTTTGGGGTGTCTCAGAAACTTTCGCAGCAGCTAGTGGCGAACATATTCGCCGTCTTGAGAAGCAGCAGAAGCAGCAACAGACGTGGCTGCTGATGCTGCTCGCGATGGAGGTGGTGTTGACGCTGGGGATGGTGAGTTTGAGAAGCTGGTGACGCTGATCGTGACGTATGGGTGGTGGTGGTGGTGCTGCTGCTGCTGCTGCTGCTGATGATGATGATGACTACGGTGATGATGATGATGATGTCTTTATCATGGGTGTGCAACTCATGGTCATGATGGTGCTGATGAGCACGCTGATGATCATTATGAGGATCACCATCATGATGCTAGCGGCGATGATCATGACGATGACGGTGAGCCAGACGAAGATAACAATAATGATGATGGTGATCATCATCATCATCATGATGCTGATGATGATGATGATGATGATGGCGATGATGCTGGTGATGATTCTGATGATGATGAGGATGAGGATGATGATGAAGATGAAGGTGAAGAAGATGATGGTGATGATGATGAAGATGGTGATGATGATGATGATGATGACGACGATCGCATTGATAGTGATGATGTTGGGGCGTGCATCGAAGCCTACACTTTCAAGCTCTTATAAGCTTGAAGCCCTGAAGCAGGTCTTGGGTTACAAGGCCCTAATTCGAGATTTCCGGCCGCTAAGCGTTCTGGATGCCACCTTGCCATTGTCCGGCTGCCTCGATCTGGACTGCAGCAGGACCGGGCCTTATTATTTTTTTGGTGTTCTTTGGGAATATTTCATTTTGTCTGACAGCGCTCGAAGTTGTTACTATTTTTCGTAGTTAATAGTATTCGTATGCTTTGTATTCTCATTGCTAGTCTTACCACTATGCATTTTACAACATGTTAATTACTTTCGTCGCGGTTCTAAGGCACTTAACTCAAAGGCCGAAAGTGTTCCTACAACGCCGGTAAGGGCTCATTTATCATACAAGGAGCCCATGAGGATTCCCAGCATATGAGAGTTCTACAAGGGTTCCCAAAAAAGTGAGATTAAGGTTGAGGGTTGTAGGGCTTGCTTCAACCCCAAATGTCCTAGCCTTTTCAGGATTGATATTCTGAAGATATCAGAATAGCCCTAAAAAAGTAGGCTTTTGGGGGTTAACTTAACACCGTAGTCCAATCATTGCGGTCCCTAAAAGGCGTCTGTTTCCGCTGTTAACTGCCATGAGCCCTATCAAGCTCTGGAAGTATTCAGTTTGTTCTGCTGAACGCACCGCTTGACCCTAAACCCGAAACCCTGAACCTCAAGCTCTTAGACCCTAACTCGAAAACAAACACCATGACATGAACGGTTGACAAGTAAGACGTCGGAGACAGTAGGAGGGTGCACGTTTAGGGTTTGTTTGTTTTTTTTTGAGGGTTTGGGGGTTCAGGATTTTTTAGGTTTTAGGATTCAGGGTTTTTTAGGTTTTAGGACTTAGGGTATTTTGTTAGTGTTTAGGGTTTAGTAATTTAGGGGTTTAGGATTTATAGCCTACCTGAATAAACATGGCAAGTTAGGTACCCCCCCAGGGTTTCACAGTGAGTTAGGCCCTGAACCCTAGACCCTAAACCCTAAACCCCACAACTGTTTGTCCGACTCTCGGCACCAAACACAAGGAAATAAAGCCCTAAGCCCATTCGATGCCAACCACATGTCCAGAGCCCGTTCTCAAAAATTGAGGGTCCCTTTAGGTCCCCAAAGTAGTACGGCACTCTTAGAATAAGGACCCTAAAGGGGGACCCTTATTTAGAGAACTA